AATGAACTTTCGGTAAAATGATTGTCGGTAAAATAATACGTCGGTAAAGTGATTGTCGGTAAAGTAATACGTACCCAAGAAGACATGTTAATAACTAACCAGAGGTACTTTTTTTTATTTGTATTGTCTTTTTTGGTTATTATAAATATATATTATTGAAATCAAAACATGGGCAGATCATTGTTGGGTAATTATAAGATCCTCATCAAGATAATAAACTAATGATTGTGTATTTTGCTTTTCGTAATCATTTATCAATATTAATATTAAATAATAATAAATAATTACAAGATGTCAAGGCAGCACAACTGTTACAATCAAATCTGCAATTACCATAGGTATCAAAGCACCAATTTTTAGATGCATGTCGTTGCTAAATTACCAAGTGGAAGAACATCTTATTCACCAAAAGACCATTTTAATACTAAATATACTTCATCTGTTGAACAAATTGTAGCAGAACATGCATGACAAGGTCTGGGTATATTTAAAAAAATCTAAATGCAAAAAAGAAATGTTGACACATGATACAAGGAGAAATGATAAATAATAAATAAATAAATTTTATTGATGCTTGTACATTAAGTATTAACAATTTTTTTCAAAGTGTCACTAACAGCAACCAAAAATTCATCAGTGTTGACATAATGTTCTCTTTTTAGACTAAAATAATAATAATAATAATAATAAATCAGTTATTGGAAAATACAAAAAAATCTCTTGAATTAATTAACTTACTTTTTTCCATGAATTGATAATGCTAAATCTTTAGTCATTTTACCATGAACATCAACAGTGTCAATACAAGCTTGTTCAAGATCTGTGGAAAATTTTAATAATTTATCATTTCCATCTAACCTAGCTCTGTGAGCCAACCCTCTTGTCCAAGCAAAAATTGAAGCGATTGGATTTGTTGAAGTTTCTTCACCCTTTATTTTTTTTTTTTTTTGAAGGTAGATGATGAAAGATAGAAAAAAAAAAATAATTCAATAATTATTTATTAATTTAATTTTTTACCTTTTGGTGTAAACGATAGTGTCTTGTTACAGTTCCTAGTAAAAAAACAGAGATAAAAAAAAATAGATTAATAATAATAATAATAATAACAACAACAACAGATAGTCCTGTCAATAGATTATTGCAATTTATGATGATGATTATGATTATAATACCATGAGCTGCTTCTGATTCCATAGTTTTGCCATCAGGTGTCATGAGAACACTTGTCATTAGACCTAATGACCCAAATCCTAATTAAAGGAATAGTAGTATTAAATGAATATTAATATAAGTTAAATTGGATATTAATGGTAAATTAATTAGTTGATTTGGTTAATTAATTAATTACCTTGAGCTAAAATATCTGACTATTAAAAGTTTTTAATATTATTAATACTAATGATGAATGATTATTTTTTATAAGAATATTAAAGTGCAAATATTATACTTACTTGAACATCTCTAAAAGTGAGTAGTAATAATAATTAATTAATTAATAAATAAATATAAGTAATAATTCTAATTATATTTAATATAAGGTACTTGCCCATCATAATTTTTACATGCCCAGACGAATCCTCCATCAGATTTTAGTGCTTGAGCTACCATATCATCAATAAGTCTATGTTCATACCAAATATTTTGAGCTTTAAATTCATTTTTATATTTACTATAAAAAACATTAATTGATTAATAATTAAATATTTTATTTGATGATTGTATATATAAATATAATACCTTTCATAAATTTCTTCAAAAATGTCTTTAAATCTGCCATCATATTTTTTTAAAATAGTATTTTTGGTACTAAGATACTAAAATCATTAAATTAATAATTAATTAAATTCTCTAATCAAAAAAAATATATGTATGTGTCATTAGCCTTGACTATTTAAAAAAAATTTTTTTACCAATGGCATGTTTTTGCTTAATGCCATCTTAAAACTACTCTCAGCAAAACCTGTGATAGACTAAAAGAATTTTTAATAAATTGATAAATTAACAAACAATATAATGTGTGTATATATGTTATTTACCTCATCAGTATTATACATTGCCAGTGTTACACCAGGCCCCTATAAAAAAGGTTACTATTGTTAATATTAATAATTACATTACTACTATTATTATTAACTTAAAAACATACCTTAAATTCATAAACAGTTTCTTCAATTGGGGAGTCATTATCATCAGGCAAGAATTTCAATAAAACTTTACCAGGTTTATCAATAACAAGATCTGTAGCTTTGTACTTTTTGTTTCAAAATATTTTATATGTAGATAAAGTTACTAATTGTTATAAATTTTATATAATCAAATAGACAAAATTCTTAGCAATAAAATAATAACTTGGTCTCCAAATGCATGTCTTCCAATAACAATTGGTTTAGTCCAAGTGGATACAATACGTGGGATTTTTTTCAATAAGATTGGTTCACTGAAAAAAACAAATTTATTATTAAATAAATAATCAAAGAATTAAATCATCAAATAATCAACTAACCGAAACACAACACCATTCAAGATATTACGAATTGTTCCATTTGGAGATTTCCACATTTTTTTTAAGTTAAATTCTAGAAAATTTAAAAAAATATATTTATATTATTGTACTATATATTATAAATCATTCAATTATTTAAAATTAATCACCTTTGACTCTTTGTTCATCAGGCGTAATAGTTGCACATTTAATACCAACATTGTATTTCTTGATCGCTTCTGCTGCCTCTATTGTGACTCTATCATTTGTCTATAATTTGGAGTTAAAGCAATAAATTAATAATTTATTTTATATATAAATATATGATAAAACTTACTGTATCACGATTTTCCATGCCCAAATCAAAATATTTAATTTCAATATTAAGATAGGGTAAAATCAGCTAAATAAATTGATTAATTAGTATATTTTTTGAATTAGCAAAAATAAATTAATATGCACTTAAATTAAATTTGTTAAAATTTACTTTATCCTTTATTTTAGTCCAAATTATTCTAGTCATCTCATCTCCATCAAGTTCAACAACTGGATTATTTACAACTATACGAGAATCTAATCAAAATCAAATTGAGTTTAAATTCATTAGAATTGAATCCAATCAAATCAAGTAGATTAGCCCAATATGTGAGAATTAAATCTATCGCCATCAATCAATATGATATCATCAATTTGATCTAATAGTTTCGATATAATACCATCACTCTAATCTATACTCTAATCTGATCCAATAAAACATTATTTAATAACAATAATAAGGTTATATCACACATACAACATCTTTTTCCACTAATATCATTGCTTGCAGCAAATTTTAATGAATTATTAATAAAACTAAGGCTCCTTTTCTTATAACTTCTTGTGACATTAGCAATTGATGAAAGTCTGTTATTATTAATAATTTTAAGTATACCTGGCATTTTGACGTTTTATTTCTAGTGGTTGGTATAAAAATATTTAAAAAAATATTTAAAACATCAATCTATAATATTATCCATCTATCTATATATTATTAAAATTCTAATGTCTGTCCGATTAGTGATTTGATTGGTCGATTCTATGCACCATGATTTAACGTGTGTAATGTTTTATTATTATTATTATTATTTATTAAATAAAAATACATACAAAAAAAAATTTTTTTTAAAAATCTATATTAATATTGTTAAAATTCTAATTTCTGTCCACGTTAATATTTTTATTGATAAAAGTTTATTAGTACACTCCAAAAAGTATCCGGACGAGGTTTTTTAATAATTACGCAAAAAGCCACATAACGAAAGTACATAAAATTTATATCATATATGGCTTAGGTTTGGCGACTCTACATATAAAATTTCATTTTACTATCCTTTTTATTTAAAAAAAAAACGAACATCAAATAAATCGCGAGGATCATCTTTGCGAATTTTTAATAATTTTATGTTTTTCAAAATTTTATATTATAAAATTTAATAGTTTGTAGTTTAGGTCCTCATAAATAAATGACTAGTGCGCCGTATCTAAAGACATCAATTGCTGCGCCATTTGCCGAAAATTTTAACAGTGATCTTTCCTGATTAAGAAATCGTTCAGATATGGTGCTTTGTGTCTAATGTAGGGCTTCTATATACAGGAGTAGGGATGGGTCAGTTTCACTAATAAACGGTTTGAACTCGGTTTTGAAACCAACCCCTGGTTTTTTTTTGGTTTGGTTTTTGGAACTGTTCAAACTGATCAAACCGGTTACACATGATCAAAATGTGATATTAAAATTTATTTTATTTAAAAATATTGTTAAATATAAATGATAAGAATAATATTTGATAAAAATTTGTACATCACCAAAAACTTGACTAGAATCAAAGTTCATATCTTTATTAATTTTTAATATGTAGGATAAAATTTGTTATCAAAGAATTATTAATTTGAAAGAATAAAAGTTTATTAATTTTAAAGAATATACAACTGTAAGGTTGTTTTATTATATCAAAGATATTGCTTCAATGGCAAGGGAATAATTATCCTTTTTA